GACTGTGTGATGAATACATGACTACAGCATGAATCCATGACTGCAAAATGAATCCATGACTGCAGAATGAATCTATGACTGCAGGATGAATCCATAACTACAGCCTGAATCCATGACTGTGTGATGAATACATGACTATGTGATGAATACACGACTGTGTGATGAATACATGACTGTGTGATGAATACACGACTGTGTGATGAATACATGTGTGATGAATACATGACTGTGTGATGAATACACGACTGTGTGACGAATGCACGACTGTGTGATGAATACATGACTGTGTGATGAATACATGACTGTGTGATGAATGCACGACTGTGTGATGAATACACGACTGTGTGATGAATACATGACTGTGTGACGAATGCACGACTGTGTGATGAATACATGACTGTGTGATGAATACACAACTGTGTGATGAATACATGACAGTGTGATGAATACATGACTGTGTGATGAATACACAACTGTGTGATGAATACATGATTGTGTGATGAATACATGACTGCAGGATGAACTGATGATGGTGTGTGTGTGTGTGTGTGTGTGTGTGTGTGTGTGTGTGTGCGTGTGCGTGTGTGTGTGTGTGTGCGCGTGTGCAGGTGCGAGGCGTCCAGAGTGATGACCTGAGTGATGCATTGTGGGAGGATCAGAAAGAGGTAGGTGAGGAGCAGACACAAACACTTCATCACATATTTAATATCTCTCTGTTTGAGGCAGATTGATATCCCATAATAACCTCTGAGCATATTGTAGTTCAAGTGGACTGAGAGACAACTAGACTTTATCAGCTCCTCTCGGCTCTGATTCAGACCGAAGAAAATCTGTGAGGAGAGACTTTGTCCAATCACAGGTCTTTTCAGAAAGAGGGCGTTCCTGTTGGCTGTTCTACAGATGCAAATATACGTTACCGTCTCTTCAGTGAAAACCTGACTCAATGGTGGAGTAGAAAGTTGCTGTTCCAGCATTGCCAACAACTGTCTCCACAGCAGAGCAACCCAACAAAGAGACGGACTGATCAAACAGAGTCTGAAAGAGAGTCTGACAATAAACTAAATAACGTGTCAGTATCAGTGAAGAGTTTCAGACATGGAGACAACATGATGCTAACAGTTTAGCCTTCTGCTAACTGCTAATGTGTCTCTCCACAGGAGCAGGTCCAGAACGTCTTCAAAAGAGTAAGTTTATGACTTCAGCTTTTCTGTCGGATCTTTCCTCAGCTTCAGTCTCAGCCTCAGCCTCAGTTTCAGCCTCAGCCTCAGCCTCAGTTTCAGCCTCAGTTTCAGCTTCAGCCTCTCTGACCTCCTGATATCTCCTTTCCTTCCAGTTCCTGTTTCATTACTCTAAAGCACGAAACTCAGTAGGAGCCGTGCAGCAGGAGGTGAGCACACACGCGCACACACACACACACACACACTAGTGATGTTACGCTCGAGCCAGTTTGCTCGACACAGTGTCGATCTATTGAAGCGCAAGTGTTCCGAGGCAGTGTTTCGATCCCTGCTTCGGAACGCCCACAATCACGTGACTACCGGGAGCGAGGCCTTGTTACAGGCAGTCCCAATGGTCTTTCACTTAGATGCAGTTCTGACACACAGCCAGCAGATGTCACTCTTCTGACTGTATGAAATGCTTCGAAGCAGTGTGCCATTCTTGAAGCAGGTGTGTCAAAATGGTTCAGTGCTTCATGAAGCTTCGATTTCACCGTCACTAACACACACACACACACACACAAATATAATATTTTTCACTTCAGTCTGAGTTTTTAGGGTTTTTGGATTTGAATATTTCTTTAATGTGAGCAGCTGCTTCGTGTCAGTCATCACTCTGACCTCTCATTGATCTCTGATTGTTTAAATATGATCAGTATCACTGCTGATTGATGACCTGATGACCTGAGCTTCACTGATGAGACTGAAATTATATGTTTGGATACTCTGATTAATATAAGGTCATGTTTTCTGATGTTACCTCAGTATGTAACTGTGCTGTTTCTCCTCTCATCTCCTCTCCTCCTCCTCCTCAGTCTCACTCAGTCCATCCTCTGATGAGACTTTCTCCCAAACTATCCCAGAGGAGAAAGAAGAAGGTTTTACTGTTGGTAAGGAAACAGAATATATTCAGTAGTTTATCCTGTTTGGTTCATCTCAGTTTGCTGTTTTTGGATTCTTCGTTCACCAGAAGCACCTAGTTTTATTCACCAAGTCAACAGAACAAAGGTCATCAGTATATCAGTAATATATAATAATAATAATAATAATAATAATAATATAATCAGTAACTGAGGTATTAATGGTGATTTTAAGAGTGAAGTTTCCCTTTAAGTCAGTTTTGTTTCTATCCATTCTCACTTTGTCTCCGTCCTCCATCTTTTCACTGTCCACCAGGTGTAATCTCACTTTCTGTAGTAGCTATGGTTACAGACAGTCTCTCCTCCTCCCTACACTCAAATTTAAAGTGTCAGTCGTTTTCCAAAACAAAGACACAAATGAACAGAGTTAAAGATGAATCTGACTGGAAGCATTATTATTGTTTTCTATAGATTTTTGTCAGCGTGAGCTCTTCTGTCCGATAGTGGAGTAGTAAAAGTCTGACACTGTCGGCCCAGGTGGCTCAGCTCAGAGGAAACACACACTGAGCCAATCACGAGTCTTCATCTCAGTATTCTCCATTAAAGATTCTCACATTATAAATCAGTGAGAAGGCTCAGAGCTCTGTAGCTCAGGTTCAACTGGTTTTAGATGAAGGTTCCTTTGACAGGAGACTCATCTTCATCAGTGATGAAGAACAAACTGAAAGAGTGAGGAACATTCACCATTTCTCTTCTGTCTAAAGGAAATCAACCTTTCCAGGAAGCCTCCTCATCAGGAGCAAAGAATTAGTGAGATCTTTATTAACCACATCAGTGCTGAGGTCTGATCTTTGCCTCTGACTCCTCTCCTCTCTCCTCCTAATGACACAGAAGATTCGCGGTCTGCCTGAGGGGATGTTGTAGAAGAATCGACCACAAGAGACAGACGTCAGGCTGAAGAGAAGAGGTGCAGCAGGCAGCACCTGAACGTCTCACCATCACTGAGCCGAGGAGCCACGCTCAGACACACACACACACACACACACACACACACACACACACACACACACACGACCTTTTCTTATGAGAAAATAAATCATTGTACAGATGGAGACAGCAGAACCACTCCAACATGGCTGCCATGTGTCTGCTTCCACGTCAATCAGTGTACGTCAGTGTGAACTGTTGCTCTGTTACACAAGACACACGCGTCACCAAATACACACCAAACACATTCATCTCTTAAACAAGTTCTTTATGATTCCAGAACACAGATTAACGTGGCATCGAGGTGAACTCACATTTGATTCAACAGATTTACAGTTTGTGACATCATGAAATAAAAAAGTTAAACTCAGCTGATGAGTAGGACGTTTATTCAAATTATAAAAGAGCGCTTTCCCCACTTCAGGAGGCGTCTCTCCGGCCAGGTGTCCTCCAGCCCACAGTTTAAATCTGAAATGTGTGAACTGATGGAGGAGTCTCTGTCCCTGCTCAGACGTCCTCTGAGTGTGTCCCACACAGCGTGTCCAGTTTGGAGCGACTGTCTCTGATATTAGATCTAATAGTCCTCGTCCTCAGAGTCACTGTCCTTCCGTGTAGGAAGCGAAGATCTGATCGATGACATCAGCTTGTCTTCGATTTGCTTCTTGGGGTTTTCCTCCAGGTCTGTCTTCACCGCCCCAGACTCTGATAACCTCCACTCCAGCTCTGCATGGGACACAAAGGACAGATGATGAAATGACAACACAATAAAACCAAACACTGGTGATGTCGTACACAAGGAGTGGGGAAAAAGCTGAATTATTTATTTTATGTAATGTCTCTGGTAATGTCCAGTAACTGGTAAGATCGCCTGTGTTTTCACAGAGCTCGTGTGAAGGAGCTACGGAGCATCTGGTTGTAAATTCTGTCACAGAGGACAGCACAAAGGTAAACATCAACTACGGTCCCTGCTGCCTGTTTCTCTGCCGGCCCCACCTGTTTTTACAGTCTGTCTGTCGTCCATTAAAACACCATCTGATTGGCCATCTACCATCTGCCTGGTTCCACAGTAACGCTACAGACAAAGCAGACTAAGACTAAAACTTACTTTAGATCCTCTGTTGTTCTTAAAGTGTTGAGGTGGAGTCTGTAATTCTGGACAAAGACTGTTGAAATTCAAACTCAACTCCATTTTTTTTCAGCACACACCCTGTACAGTGAGCTAGAGGCGTGTGTATTGGATAAGAATCCCTGCAAGCACCTTGAAGTGTGTGTTCAGAGTCCTGATGCTTTGTTTGTTGCCTCCTACCTTCAACTTTGAGGTTCATGCCTCCAAAGACCAGCGGCCCAATGAACTGGGCCTTCATCTCTCCCTCGAAGTAGACGAAGATGGTGGGCAGGTTGCGGTCGGGGTAGTTGGGGATACAGGTGGTGGAGATGGACTTGAGGAACTTGGTCTGAGGGAACTTCCTGGCCAACATGCTCATGTGTTGGTTGATGAGGGTGCACAGAGGGATGCTGGGAAAGGAAATGAGCAGTGAGAAATCATCACACAGATCTGTTAGTGATGCACTTCGTGCTTACAAAGTGTCAGTGGTCGTAACAGGAAGACTGATGGGCTGACTGCAACAAATCAATCAATCTCTCTGATTGTTTCTGATGAACTCAGGCCCAACGTGACGTCTTCAAAGTGCTGGTTTTGTCCGACCATCAGTCCATAACTAGATGATCCAGTTACAGTGACAGGTCACACGGAACTGCTGCAAATATTCACATTTAAGAAGCAAATGTTTGGCTTTTGTCCTTAAAAAAAAAACTGTTTGTGATCAGTAGAATTGCCAATTAATTTTCTGACAATCAACTAATCAATGAATTGCCTATCCGTATAGTCCACACGTAACCACACTGTCTGCTGAACCCTTACAAACTGATTCAAAACAAGTCCTGCTGTTTGTTTCACAGCTATCTGTCTGGAGGACAAAAGTATTCTCCACCCAGAGAAGATGAAGGCAATGATTCATCTTAAAGGGAAATGTCATCCCCTCATTAAGAATAAAAAAAAATAAACATTTGAAAAACTTAATGTCAACATCTGGTTCCAGAAATCTGACCCAGGAGGAAGGAACCATGAATCTACTTCCAGCTCACCTCGCATCACCGAACATTACAGCTCAGCTGAGGACAACACTATTAATGTTTACATCCTGCACTGTCCCGAGCACGAGCCTCTCGTCCATTAGTCCATGCACGCTTTTACGCAGTGATACAGTTGCTGGGTGTAGTTCAGTAGAAATAAAATAGTTCCTACATGAAACTGCAGCAACAAGGTCTGTGGATTATCTTGAGTAACCAGGTCATGATTTCTGTACAGAGACACTGATGTTGAGTTTTGAGCTCCACAAGCTGAGTGTCATCTAGTTGTGTTATACTGGAGAGAAGTCAGACATCTCTACGGCCCATATCTCCAACACTTTGCAGCTCACACCTAAACTATCTGAAATGTTTTCTGTCCTTCAGGAGGGTTTTTCTTGAACACTTGGTCATGTTCTGGGCTTTGTTGGTGACCTACCCCTGTTTATAGAGGTGCAGCACCACCCAGATGCCGTCTCCGGCCTTGTTGACCTCCTTGACGTAGTCCTGTCCGGAGATTTCCCCCAACTCCCCGAACACGTTCTTCACCTGAGCCGCCTTCCACTCCGCCAGACGCTGCTGTCTGCAGAGAGACACATCTCACATCAGTTACAGTCACAGTCGCAGTGAATTTTAAGAGTTCAGTCACAGTGATATTGCACAAATCTCCTTCCACTCACAGAGCTCGTCACAGGTTCATAGATTTATGTAAACTGAAGACATTTTGTGTCCAGGAAATTCCATAAATCTGTGTTTCAGAAACAGATAAAAACATGATACATATGATTCATCGTCACTCACCTGTACATCTCAATGGCAGCTTCATCGTCTTCACCAAACTCATCTTCATTCTCCTCCAGCTCCTCCAGCGTCATGTCCTCGTATGTTTTAACTATTGAGAGAAAAGACAACGGTCACATCAGAGGCTATAATCAGGTGTGTGACAGTTCTGAGACCAAACACATCCGTGTTCCCGTGTCATGGTCCTGTCTTCCCTTCTCGCTCCCTCCCCACACTTTAAACCATTTTTTGTGGGCTGAAAACATGAATCTCCTTTTTTAAGTCACAGAGAAATACTGATATATTCATTCTTACCGACAGACTGCTGCTTGAGGGCCAGCTCCTCCTCTTCATCATCATCTTTAGGAACCTCTTTGGGAGGAAGGATGCCTTTCTTCCTCAGGATGTCGTTCCACTCAGTGTCTTCATTCGGGTCCTGAGGAGGAAACAAAGCACAGATACACTTGGATTTATTTCTGTTTGTCTAAGATGAAGAGTGAAACACCAAACACACCAGAGCTGGGAATGAGCCATGTGCTCTACACTCCCCTAAAATCTGCCTCATCCACAGTGGATGTTAATGTACATGGACCTGCACCTGTGTGGTGCCTCTCTGGTCTTTGACCACTCAAAGACCAGCAGTTTAACACTACACGTCACATTCACACACACATCCACACACTGATGGCTGAGGCTGCCATACAAGGAGCCACCAGCTAACTGTTCACACACACTCACAAACCGATGGCTCAGCCCTCTGTATCTGTATCTGAACCAAAGATACTTGAGAGACTGGAGCAGACGGTCGGCTCTACCTCCTGAGCCACCATCACCTTACACCTATGTTAAAGCATTTTACACCTGAGTCCTCCACATGTGAAGGTGAAGAGGTGCACTCACATCAGTACAGAGACCCTCGTATTTAAAAAAAAAAAGGCAAAGGCACTGTCAGCTGAGGTCACTATTACAGAGCAGATAAAGTGTATGATGGCTCCAGTATACAAACTGTGTGTCATCACTAACTGTGTGGGCTTCGTGTGGATCTCATAAACTTCAGTTTACTGTAACAGAGTCAGACCTAAAGCCACAACATGAGCTCATGAAAACTTTTATCTCTAACTACATTTTAAACTACAGATACTGTCGCACAGATACTCTACATTACATTATGTCTGTTGTTTGAAACAATTATTGTACTGCAGAGGTGACAAGAAAATAAATCCGGAATAAACAGTTGGCTAAAAAGTAAAGATGTTGAGAAGTCACAAATTTCAGGAACATAATGCGTCACATTATGTTCCTGCTGATTTTCTTTCCAGATTTAAAACCCTGTATTTAAAACTTCTGAACTGGTGACGAACAAGTTATTCTTATTTGGTAGAACTAATATTAACTATTTTACATTTCTAGTGAGTTAATGATGACTATAAAAACATCACTATATTATTCACACAAGAAAATATCTCGTTACACTTCAACATACTCATCATTTCCGTTTACTACCAAATATCTGACATGAAGCTGACGTCACCTGTTATAGTTCGTTAATCACTTGATCACACATGACTTCAGCTCCTGTCTTTATATTGACCTGTCTCTATCTGAGTGAGTCTGACAGGGTGAGGTCACACATGTAGAATAAGAACAGGCTGATACTTAGCTAGTTAGCATGCTAACAGTGAAGCTAACAGTTGATCCGCCCAGTTTCCCACTCTGTTAGTTTACAGAGCTCTACTGTTAAATTATCTGGACACACAGCACCGACATTAACCGGTGTTACATCCACTCAGTATCCTTTGTTAAAACCACAGAGTTTAAAAGTCTAATAAAGATTAACTGACCTGCATTTTGACAGATTAAATCTCCTGTGAAATCACACCGATGCTCTCCTTACACACACCGGAAACACATGGACCGATCACAGATCGGCTCCGGCAGGAAACAAGAGGCGACGGCTGTCTTTAATAAACTCACAATGAGCCCAGCGTCACAATACAATCACTGTGAACAATGAAATATAATGTTGAAAACATTGTGTATTATTATGATGTCCCCACAGCTCGGTTGTGTCTGTTTAACGAGACGAGGAACCGACGGTGTAACGGGGGGACAATAATAAAAGTGACACCAGCTTCCTGTTGAGGCTCCATATGACCAAAAAAGGAGATGGACCGCAGCATTCCATTTGTGGCACCGAACAGCTGCTCACACACACACACACACACACACACACACACACACACACACACACACCATCTTTAAGGTGTTAAATTTAGGTGTGTTTGGTAACTGGAGGAAAAAGAACAAACACATCAAAATAGAAAACAAACCAAAATGGCCGACTCCTCTCAGAGTGACTGTATCTGATCAGTGATCATATAAAGTTTGACCTGAGGAGCTCCATTAAATTATGACCTCTTTAAACTCTGCTGTGAGGCTGCAGCGATGCACCTGTATCAAGATGTACTGTAAAGAAACAGCTGACAGTTAAACTGTGTATATTTGCTTGTCCTTTAACAGCTGTTGGAATAAAACATAAAGCTGATTATTGTGAACAAACTAATAAACTGTTTACAGCATTCGACACCTGAACGATTTCAGACATTGTGTATTTAAAACATTGGAAATAATTTTGGGTTTGAGTTGTGAACAAAAGCGTTCCTGTCTGCATTACAAAATGTTTTCAATTAGGGGAAGGAACCGATAATTACAGAAGGCTGTTTATTTATGAAACAAAGTGAGAACTGATGTAAATCCTCAGACTGTGGGATGGACTCAGTGCTGAGCTCAAACTGTGTTTCTCTCTGATATAATCTAAAGTTTAATGTATATATTATATATTATATATTGGTGTTGTTGATATTCTGTTTTTTTCCTGTGGTTGGTGTCGGAGAGGTAAAAATGAGTCTGTTTCTTTATCTGTTACTGACTGTGAGGAAATCTGTGTGATACAATCTTTGTTTCTCCACATGTATGAACCTAAATATAGATCATTCATTCATTCATTCATTCATTCACTGTTATTTTCTAAGAGGACACTTTTTACACAAGTTTCAGCCCAACTCTACAGGATTAATTCTTTGATCATCTATTTTGTGAATGAATATTTTTAAATAACCGTCACTTAAATTTGATGGAAAATGTAGAACACTCCTGAAATGTGAAATGATGGCTCTTAAACAAAATTACACACACACATACACACACACACACGCACGTGTACTGACCAGGAGGAGACTCAACACGACCTCAGAGACACAAAACCACAAACAGATGCACAACAACTGCACAGAGACACAAATAACCACACAGTCTGTGAGTGTCCTGCTCACAGAGAGGTGGAGGGGCCCCTCACATGTCTTGAATTTAAAATCCTACTGTTAACTTATAAAGCTCTAAATGGTCAAGCTCCGTCATATCTTAGAGAGCTCATAGTGCCATATTATCCCACCAGAACACTGCGCTCTGAGAACGCAGGGTTACTCGTGGTC